GTAGCCAGCTGCATCACAAGTAAAGGTATTTACTCAATACCAACCGTAAAAATCGTTATTCTGTAAGAGGAAGGGGGGAGGAAGCAGATAAGAGGAAGTTCATTTTATGGGTCAAGGTCCCCATACCAAAGGCTCACACCTTTTACATTCATTACATTTGTATACACAGGTTGAGCATAGATAAAAAGAAATGCTTTATTTCAGTAATGTCTAGAAACACATCTGATTTCTTTACTGCTGCAGCCTCCAGGTTGCTATGCACTATTTACCCAAACTTCCAGCTGGGAGCATGCACCCATCACTTCAGAAGAAGTCCCCCCTGACCACCTCCTTGCGATTACATATCCCATGATCCAAGCATCACCATGGCCACTGTGCATGTGTAACCTTTATAGTTCTCCCCTGACCACCTGTGCATGTTGCTGCAGGTAGCTTTATAGACTTCGAAGTGTGCGGTAAAGGGTGGCTCCATAGGACCCAGCAAGGCAATGGAGCCACCTGAAAACCTAAAACCTGGAGCAGTGATTTTTGGCTCCAAGAAGTAAAAGAATAAAAGAATAAAATGTTAGGGTTTAATAACATGTTAAATAGGAACTTCATCCCCCCTCCTGCTGAAGTCATAATTTGCAATGCAGGGTCCATAGCCCTGCATTATACATGAAGATACTGAGGGACAGTCTATGAGCTGGAGAACAGGGGAGAGAAGGGAGTGCCAACTGCCTGGGGAGCGGGGATCAGGGATCATGACAGTGAAAATTGAATATTCTATCATATTTTCCTGTCATTTTCTTTTCCTGGCACCAATTCGTGGCAGCATACTACCACGTGCACACTTCTATGTTGGCATCAGGAATATTGAGAATTCTACCATACTTACCAGTCATTTTTCCTTTTTCTGGCACCAGTCCATGGCACCATACTACCGCATGCACACTGCTATGATGGCACCAGGAAAATGGAATATTCAATCATACCTATCCTTAATTATTTCATCCTAGCAGCATTCTATGGTAGCATACTATCACATGCACACTGCTATGATGGCACCAGGAAAATGGAATATTCAATCATACCTAGCCATCATTTTTTCATCCTGGCACCAATCTATGCCTGCATAGTACTACATGAAAGCTGCCATGTTGGTCCCAGGAAAATTAGGAATTCCATCATACTTACCCATCAGTTTTCTTTTTTTCTGGCAACAATTCTTGGCAGCATACTATCACATGCATGCTGTCAGGAAAATGTAATCATACTTACCCCTAATTTTATTTTCCTGTCAGCAATCCATGGCAGTATACTACCCAAAGGCATGCACACAGGGTGTGCCTGGTGTGCCTGGGCACACCCTAATCACCCCACGTGCAGCACCAAAACCCACTGGCTTTGTAAACCATGCATGGGACAGGCAGGGAACATACACGTATGAAGGAATGCTGAGGCTGCCATGTTTGATATAACTCTGGTGCACTGAAAACATTGAGCTGTGCACCAAGGGCTGACTTTTTTCTGACCTGACTTTTTATTATCTGCATACTTGTCTCAGGTTTTTGACTTTATGTATTGGAGCCAGTGGACAAGCATAACAGCCAGGCAACTAAGACTTATGGAGACAATTAGCAATTACCACCCCTGCATTTCTATTATGACAGGCCTACAAGCGGTGAATGCATCTACATTGCCAATTGTTTCCTCTCATAATGGTAATACTAGTAGGCAATGTATCTAACTACTAAATTGGTCCTATCATGTGTGTGACATTGGTAGAGTTCACATGGGGCCCTTACAAGTACCCTGTAAGCTGTCAGTTTCTCACCAGCCTGTAAATGAATTACAGGATAAGTAAAACACTCCTGTACATGTGGAAATAGGGTTGCCACCTTTTCTTCAAGTGAAACCCGAACACTCTAGCGCCGCACGCGGCAATTTTTTTTTTTAATATAGAGGAGAGGCAGCCAGGGGAGGGAGTGATGAGACCAGCTAGAGAGGACTACAAATCCCAGCAATACATTATACAGCAATACAAAATAATATGAAGCTACATACTCTGTGTTGTTCTGTGTTGACGCACTGATGTCTCCACGTGGTTGCATGAGGTGACAGGGTCTCTTTAAATCACATTACTTATTAATGACCCCTGACCCCATCTACACGAATATACACTGCAGACACACTTATTTATACATAAATAAGTGCTACAGGTGTATGTGTCCTCAGATGATGACATTTAAATTTAAATTTCTTCAGTATACATACCACAACGCTGCAGAGTTGTCAGCACCCTGGGATCTCCTGTGTGTTGGCTTGTCATTCTAGGGGGCGTGGCTATCACCCATGTGACTTCATCCCGGCAGCATCCCCTTAGTGGGCGGGGCCAGCCGTCCATTGCTGCTGTATTGGCATCCTGTGCTCTGCCCTCCAGGGAGTCTCTGCAGGCTGACGCTGCATTGCTGCTGCCGATTTGCCACCCGACTCTTCCTCTGAGCTGCGGGCACCTGTAAACAGACACAGGCTGCCCGCAGCTCAGAGGAAGATCCGGTTTCAGGCAGATGCGGCTGCCGTGGATCGCACTTACCAAGGACCTCGCAGCCGCATCTGCGAGAAAATTTAAAGTGCCGGTGTCAGCAGAGTGTCTTGTGTACGGGTGCCCACTGGCTGGACACCCGTACACAAGACGCCAAACCCGGACTGTCCGGTTGAAAACCGGACGGGTGGCAACCCTATGTGGAAAACCTTCTGGGAATTGAAGTAAGAAAGCTACGCTCAGAAGCATTTCACATACAAAAGGTTTCTATTCATCCCAAAGGGCTCTGGTTAACTTGTGTGCCACTAAGTGCAATACAGTGACAATACACAAGGTGCATATTAGTGACCATTGGATATAAAGAGCTAGAGCATGGTTCAGGGCTTGCAATAGTTACAATAGTTATTATTTTATTGTTTTGATATCCCATTTTCAAATGTTTTGTAATCATCTGATATATACACACGTGTGTGTCTGGACTAATACGGCTTACCAATTTATATATACAGTATATTTTTGTGTGTGTTTGTACACAGCCCTGCAAGCTGCGTATGCCTACGATACTACCTACTACCACATAGAGATAGACATACTGTAAAGGAAGTCAGAGATAGGCTTTACAGTGATATAAAAGCCTATTTTTTTTTTTTTTTACTATTTCTACTGGAGATGTGAACACTTACCTTCTGTGCTGCTTCTCAATGTCCAAAAGTCCTGCTTTCCTCCTAAATAATGTGGTACCCACAGCATTGGCCTTGCTTTCCTGTGTAAGGGTGGGTCCTTCACATGAGGGATCTAGACAGGTAACCCAGCAAAAAAGTTGTTTTGTTTCATTTCGGATCAATTCGGATTTTTATTTCCTTCATTTCTCAGATCCGTCCAAATATTCATTTTGGAACAAAGTCACATTACTGTGTCTGTAATGCAACCCCTAAAAGCCAAAAAACCCATCTGATTGGCCAGAGAACAGTTACATGTCCGATTTAGTTTAATTTGAATGAAATTCGGATGAATCCAAGTTTTCATTAAAGGAACAGTCGGATTCGTACACATTGGAACTTGTTCAAATTTGAAGATTCAGATGCAACCGAATGTCCGAATTTAACGAAATTCATACGGCTATTTATTAACGAAACTTACATTAGTATTATTATTATAATCATTAGGGATGCACCGATACCGATACTATTATTTGTACTCGTCCAAATGCTTACCCCCGAGAACTTACGGTCAGAGGGAGACTTCCTCTGACTGGCAGTGCCACAAGGGAACATGGAGCTGGCTTCCCAGCCAATCAGGAAACCAGGCGGCTAATGACTCACCGCCCAAGTTCTTGATTGGCCGGGAAGCCAGCTCCATGCTGTTTATCCGCCTCAATGCTGATTGGCCGGGATGCCGGCTACCCAGCCAAGCAGCATCGAGCTGGCCAAACAGCATGGAGCCGACTTCCCAGGCAATCAAGAAGCCGGGCGGCGGGTGATGACATGCCGCTCAGCTTCCTGATTGGCCAGGAAACCGGCTCCATGCTAGTGGAAGTACCGGTATCGGTACTCGGTATCGGTGAGTACCGAAAGATAAATATCGGTACTCATACTCAATATTGAAAAACCGGTATCAGTGCATCCCTAATTATTATACAAGATTTATATAGCACCACCAGTTTGCGCAGTGCTTTACAAAATGGGGAGACAGTACAGTTACAGTACAATTTCAGTACAATAGGGTTATAAAGGCCCTGCTCATGAGAGCTTACAATCTAGCAGGAATACATGGCTAAGATGGATCCCATGAAGCCAGACGTTGATGCACGCTCCAATGAGATTCTACAGGGTGATATATGGATGCTGCCTGCGCCCTGCGCCACCAGGCTTAGGCAGCCAGGGAGCATTGTGTACAGTGGTTTGTGCACACCACGCATGTGTAATGGCTCTATTGCACATGCCGACCGGAAGGCTGGGGAAAACTGCGCACAGGGATCGGAGGTCGCAGACAGGGGCGTATTTACCGCGAGGCAAACTAGGCGTTTGCCTAGGGCGGCACCCTTCGGTGGTGCCGCCGTACGCAAACGCCTAGTGCTGCGATTCAGAGAAGGGGAGAGAACCGGAGGCCATCTTTCAGATGGGATGCACAAGTAAAAGTAAGTGTTCCAGGACATTTTTAAAGAAAACATTTATTATTTTCAGCTGATTTAATTATTTCTGATTTATCACAGAAAAAAAGCCTTTAATACTATAGTACTTTAAGGACACTACTTCAGCAACTGTGTGTGTGTGTGTGTGTGTGTAAAGGGTGGTGTTGGCAGCGAGGCAGGACACATGAGTGGAAGCACACCGTTCCAGTGGAATGATGGGTGTCTGTGATCGCTCCAGTGGAGGCTCTATACAGCTAGCAGTGGTGGGCAGTCAGGGAGCCCGGGGATTCCTGATGTGACAGCGTCTGGCCCCGCCCTTTTCCCCGCCCACTAGCTGTCACGGCACGCTGCATCCAGCTTACTTGCTGTCAGAGCCGTGTTCTCGCCGGAGCTCGGTGCCGCATCGCAGACAGCTTCTTCTTCTTCTTCCCTGCTCACTCTAGGTTCTTCCAGACACCCCAAACCCACCCCCCCCTTTCCGCCCCCATGTTCGGACCGGATAAACTGGGCTACGAGATGGATTTCGGCTACAGGAGCACGGCTTCCCTGGGAGACTTTAACCCGTTCAGCGCTAGCATCCCGGCCACCAAAGTGGAGTTAACAATCTCTTGCAGGTAAGGATCGCTTCTAGTTCCACAAGTCAGGATCCGATCTGCTCTCATAACTCTTGCTGCTGCTTCCGTCGAACTTTGTAACAACTGTCATTAGATCCCGGCTTGTGTCTGCTGCACCCAGACAGCGTGTGTGATTTCACAGCACCACTCACTGATTGTATAATCTTCTTCAGATCTACCATCAACTATGTAGTACAGGGGTCTGCCCGATTGTGTAGACTAGATAGGTTCCTCCTGTTACATAGTTTGACTCAATATAAAGTGGATTGTGTATGGTGATCATTAGATCCAGTTCCTCTGTTACAGTTGGAGTCATGTTTTTGGGTTTAAATGGTTCAGTGTCCCAAAATAAAGCACTTGAGGGAGTAAGTCAGATAGGGCTGTGCTAGTGTCAGATTCGCTGCTTGTGTAATCATTGCGAATACCATTGAGCCTTGGATTAGTTATAAATTATGATCTAGTTATAGTTCAGTTTGGCAAGCTTTGTATTTGTCTGTTTAGGTTGGATGACAGCCAGTGTCTTCCTATACATCACCTACCATCCTATATATTGTATTAGAAATGTGCATGTGATTGCCCTGTAATGTCATCTCTTGTGTGGCTGATATATGAAAAGAATAAAGGCAACTATTGCAGATATAATGAATTTTATAGTGTACTATACCTATAGGATATAGGTATAGATAGATAGGTATATAGAAGATAAAAATAGAACAGCTGAGCGAGAAGGACAGATCTTTGATGATATCACTCATATATGTTGACATACAATACAGTTGATGCTTTGTTGTCTTTTTATTTATTTTCATTGAAGTGTTTGTCGTTGCTTAGTCCTCAGCTAGCAAAGCATAACCTGGCATGTATTATTCCAGTATTATCTTCCAGTTGTTTGTTCAGCTTTGTCACTTTGAACTCGGTGTTGTAAATGATCAGGGTTTTGCTCAATGCATGAATCCGCTCCAATATTTAAAAGGCTTTAAGGTTTGATTGTGTCATTGATTTCCATTTGGGCTGGAACCATGTAAGGGTAGCTAGGATCGCTGGGTCTAATGTCAACAAGCTACACACAGCAGCCTGTGCCAATCGCTTGTCACTCCCAAAACATTTCCTGCTTCCGAGAATGTTGTAACTTCATATCAGGAAGGAAAGGATTTTCATTTTTTTATTTTCCATTCTTGCACAATAGTGAAAAGAGCAGCTTGTGTTAGCGTTTTAAAAAGAGATGTGCTGTGTGAGTCAAACTGGGATTAGATTCTGGATTCTGTCATGCAAATGCCACCACATTGGTTTTTGTTTCTAACCAACAAAGTGGAAAAGTTCATATGTGCAGCAATTCTCACCAGTCAGTTGGAAATTTATTTTGATTTATCTAGGGCAAGCGGAACAAAAAGAGCAAATGTCTGATGTGTGCGTGTGTGATTTCTGAGATTAGTAAATAGCCTCCTGTACGCCATATATACCATCTATGCTGGCTGAAAATAGATTGTGGTGGATTTATTATTTATATTTTATATAGTGCTGGCAGTTTACACAGTGCTTTACATAGTTGCACATTCAGATCAGTCCCTACCCTCAAGGAGCTTACAATTTAAGGTCCCTATTTCACATGCATGCAGGACCGATTTAGACAGGAGCCACAGCCTTCCATCATGAATTTGGATTTAATCCATTATTCCTATTGGATTTATTTATTTGATCTTTTATCATTGGTGTATTACAAAATAAACTTCCCAGGCAATTGTACTATTAATAGAAAATGAAGTAATTCAGTTCTCAGTTGATATGTTCATGATGGTGTAAGTATCTGGTTTAGGTACCGTATATATGGGCATATAGACAACCCATGTGATAATGTTGCTACCATGTTTTCATACATTGGCTTTATTTAATATCCTGAAGCCAGGGTAGGCAACCTCAGCACTCTATCTGTGGTGGGACTACAAGTCCTATAAGACATTGATAGACTTACAGCCACAGGCATGACCCCCAGCTGGAGTGCCAAGTTTGCCTACCCTTGTGCTCAAGCTAGGCGCACTGATGTGCTTTAACCCATGATAACTGATTAGACATCAGCTTACACCCTTGTATAGTGGTTACTAGTATGAGCCATAAATGGAGACAGCCATGTGATTATAACTGTCTTTTACAAAAATAAAGCATATGGATTAAGCAATACCAGCAATGTTTTTGTACCATCCTAGGCTACTGTTACCATTGTTTCCAAAGCTATGCCTTCAATGTTAATAAAATATTTATTTTACATATTAACACATTTTAGATTTATGTTTTAATTAAAAACATAAAACCAAAGAGTGAACAATTACATTTTAAAAGGCTTCCGCACGCAAAAGTGTGGAAACCTCTCCATCTAATCCGCCTTTGTACTCGATTCTTAAGGATGATGGATAGTTACATTACTTAAATATGTAGCCTGTTTTACAGAACTAATCCAATATATTAGCAGCAAATATTTAATACTGAATGTAATGCAGAAACCATTAATACGGTGACTTCTTTCATAAACCCTGGCCATGTGACATTTACTTCCCTCTGGAATATGCTGCAGCCATATTAGTAGAAATGGAGACAAATGTTTAACTAGTAATAAGATAGATTGCGGTGCGCAAGCCAACAGCACCAAATTGTGTTAAACATTGACTTTGCATCACATATTGTGTTCCAGGAAAAGGCTGTAAGTGTGGCATCTTAAAAGTGTCGAGGTTATTTGCAGGATCAGTAACTTACTGCCTAGCAACGCATCTCCACTTATGTGCAGAAGGGTGTCCATTGCGTATTCAACATTCTGAGACCTTGGATAAAGCTCTTATCTCACCTGGCCATGTACAAGTCAGACTGGCTTTGGTTTACTGAAATGCCCAAAAGACCATTTAAAGGGACAGTGAGTTATTACTAATCATTACATTGCCTGTTTTTTGTCTAGGTACTTTGAAAAAAAAAATATATATACTCACCCAAACTCCTGAGCCAGTGTTCTGTCGAGGTGGCCAACTCGTCGAGATCTCAAACTCGTGACGTCACGTCTGTTGTAGATTTCGATGAGATGGCGCTCCTTTTTTTTTTACAATCCTCGGTGACTTCTGCAGTTGTCATAGGTGCGCCTGTCCAGCTTCTAAATTGTCATTGAGTTCTGCAACTCCCATTGATGTTTGTGGCATTGGGTGCCTCACAGGACCCCTTCATCAGGCAAAGTGTCCAGAAGATATGTTGGCCGCACACCATTCTCCTTCGGAATGTCCTTTTTATTCATATTTCTTTAGCATGACATGTGAATGTAACGTTTCGGAGCCTCACAGGACCCCTTCGTCAGGCAAGGTGGTTGAACTTGCATATGGTCGCATTGGGATATATTTGCGCCAGATTTATGATGCTAGTGTAATGTTGTTCATAAATTAGGTTTAATAGACTCCAGGAAAGAAGACTCATAACTCCAGGCAAAAAGCTTAACTGTCGCTTCTTGAAGAAGTGGTCATGGGGACTTCTTAAGTAGCCATTGTTTTGTTAGGTAATGCTCCAGTTTCAGACAGCCGCAGGACAAGTGCAGATGTAAACAGTTGCAAACTTTCAAAAACATGCGCATTTTGGAAATTAGCGCAAGCTCTGGTCAAAACAGGCACACATGTTAAAAGGAGAGGCTAAACAGATGTGCACATAAAAAAATGATCTACAAGGCTAAAACTGTTGCAATTACTTTAAAAAAAAAACCCAATTGAGTTTTAGGAAAGGGTAAATTACTCTTTAAACACCATCTCCATTTTAAAACTAGGCCTTTAATTAAAATGCTTTCTATTGTCAGTGTAACTGATATGTAGGGTGTGTAGGGGTCAATTTACTCTTATCTTTTTTGCATATAATACATTGTTAGTTTTGTTATACTTCCATTATATTTGCTAATGATTACAGTAAACTTGTCTTCATAGAATTATGTAGACCTGCAAAACTATTGAAACGCTGGCAACCTGTGATGCCTGCATGCATCTTCTAATGTTCTTGAGTATTCTCCCATCCCCTCCCCCCACACATTGATACACATACTGTATATCTACTTTGGGAAGCAAAATTAAAGTGACACGAAACTCAGGCGTTACATCTTAAAAATGGATTCAAGTACCTTAACTACTGACAGAAAAGGTTTTTATTTGTGACACTGCCCTTCCTTCTGGAGGGTGGCTACTTTTGTTCCCCATGGTCCCTATGTGTGTTATAAAGTAGCCACCACTCCAAAGCTCGGTCCCGTAATGGACTAAAATTCTAATATAAATTACTAAACTAAACATGGTTCTACACATGTAATCCCACGTGCGAGTGGTTACATACGAATAGGGACAGATGAGCAGCCCTGGATGCAGGCAGTTTTTGCCCAGGGCTGTCATCTGTCCCTAATCACGTGCAACCGCTTGGATGTTCACTTACATTCATACAACCATTGTGTCTGTCTGCTTGTCATTTATATGTATAGGATACTGGCCGCGGCTAATCACAAACTCCTGTGAATCTCAGCTGCAGAAATACACTAATTCCTGGTGCACGACCCTATGAATGAGGCCTAAAGGTGTCCATACACCTTACGATTATCGGACGAAACATTTCGTCCGATGATCGAATAGTCGTCCGATTTTCGTACGACGGCCCCATCCTGCCCCGATGATCGCAAGATTAATTTAGCCGTAATTAACGAAAAGCACCTGGACGAAATTCGGTAATTAATTTGTCGTATTTTCGTTCGCGCATGCGCAGTGTAGATCGTACGATCGAGCAAAGTTTTCAAACATGCTTGACCGTCAAAAGTCGTACGATTGTACAGTAATGTCGGTTCGGGCACTCTATTCACACGTACGATTGTCGTTCGAAAAGTCGATCGCATACGATTATCGGACGATAATCGTAAGGTGTATGGGCACCTTAATAGTGGTTTATCTATGCAACCACACCTTCTGGGCAACTTAGATGACAATAGTAATGGGTAACCTACAAAAAAAGAA